CAGGGTAGCAGGAAGCTCTCCACACACTCACCGGCCCTGGGCTAGGACTTACAATTTAATTATATACATACATACATATATATTTTTTTCTCTCCCATCACCCTGATCTTTAGTGTTCTAAATTATTAGTCTTTTTATTTTCATGTGTGTTAACTTCCACCACTTTGAAACCACTACTTAAGGTGAGGACTCACTTAAGTACCATAAATTTGTGGAATAGTACTCCTGATAATTCATTAAAAGTGTTTGTTGAGTTCCTAGGTGTTCAGGATTGATCAGTGTACAATGAGTTAAAGGTCCATGTGTTACATGCTTGATTGCCAATGTGTAGCACTGTTGGGTGGCAGAGGAAGCTTTAGAACATGTAGGCTGGTGGGAGGAATTTAGGACACAGGGGACATGCCTTTCAAGGGGACGCTGAGACTCCCACTGCTCCCTGTGTCTCTTTGTTTCCCAGCTTCCATCAGCTGGGCAGCTTCCTTGATATTGCACTCTCACCATGATGTTCTGTGTCATCACCCATGCAAAGTGATGGTGCCACCCAATCACATACCAAAGTCTTTAGATCTATGATCCAAAATTAATCTTTACTCCTTATATTATAAGTTGATTATCTCAGATCTTTTGTGATGGAAAGTCAGCTAATACTTGCTTTACACAGTTCACAATTTAGGAAGCAAAGATAAATGATAAAGAAATTCAATGCGTATTGCATCAGAAGGTAATGCAGTACTATGGAAAATGGAAAAGGTGAAAGTGAAGAGGCTTCTGAGGGCTACACAGACTGCCTGTCATGTCCTTCATAGATTTTAATTTATTATAGGAAACAGACAACTGACTGTTTTATTTATTTATTTATTTATTCCCCATAATTTTATTGAGAAACAAATAGCAATGAGACAGTTTCAAATCAAATTGGTAGGACAGTTTCAATAGTTAACACATTGTATACTCTTTTCCTAGTGGTTAGTTGCTGTACGAGATGCAGACATGATATCCTATTTACAAACACTATCAGAACAAATCCCTCTATTCATTAAGAGAATGTAACTATATATCTATTCTAATCATTTTGAATACACAGATACAAAATGGACATTCATCTGTATCCCCTTTTTTGTTTAGAAAGAGTCCAGTAGTCCATAATAGTATTGGGTCTTCTGCTTCACTGGCAATGTCAGAAATTGTTGACCTGAGTCCCCTACAGCTCAACATAACAGCATGGCTTTAATTCTTATACCTTGTTTTTATACTTTTTTGCTGGATGGTTAAGACCAAGATAAAGCCAGATCTATGCAACAAGAGTTGTAGCTTTTGGATCTGATAATGTCAATGAAATCCCTTCAGGATTTATCCTGAGATCCTGTATCTCAGATTGTAGATCCTTTGTCCGCTTCAGCCATGTGGATGAGTCACGGCTACGGCTTGGCCAATGTGCTCTCTGTGAAAGCCTGAGAGAATGTTTTCTCTCCATGTGACTCTCCTTAGGCACACTGTATATCATCAGTCACGTTCCACTTTGGCCCCATAATCTCCTTGATCAGAAAATTTGGGACACTACTGAGTTACATGACATTGCAGTACAAGTTCTCGTATGTCCTGAGTCTTAATTGACCTTGAAAGGTTAGGGCCAAAATGTTGACTTTCCTTGAGGCCCTCCTTTTTCTCTAATTTTAGTCTGCAAACTTAAGTTGTTAACCCTCCAGAAGAGAAGCTTGACAACTGACTCTTATAAGACCTTGTTACTTTCACTAGAAGACAAGAAAACTCAATGATTAAATCTGAGGTTCTTGTTGCACATGATATCTTTTCATTAAATCTGACTCCTTGTGATTAACAGCCTAAATGTGTATCAGATTCATAAGCATGCAAAAGTTAATTTAATTCTAAAACTGCTTTGCAAATGATAAACAGCTAAGCAGCATTTGGTGGGAGAAAAGGTATATTTAATGGCTTACTCTTTTGGAGGCAAATAAGAAAACTTTAGGAAGCTTTAAAATTGTTTTTATAGCAAAGTGCTATGTCAGATTATTTTAGCAATTGTGCTCATCCTGCTCATCTTCTATGTTAAAATATCATCTAACAAATATTAGATTAATTTGAACTTGCATTGACTGTTGTCTCTGTCTTTCAGTTTAGCTACTTAGAGAAGCTTCTGTTGGTTCATGGAACATGGAATTATTTTCGAGTCACTAAATGCATATTGTATTGTTTCTACAAGAATGTGGTGCTATACATTATTGGGGTAAGAAAGAAACATTTTCTTTTGAAAAAAAGGGGGGTGCTACTGGTTAGCTCAGTTGTTAAAGTGCCTGCTTAAGCAAGCATAGTCTGGCTCAGGATACTGTGGTTCAATCCCCAGATCATCATGTCTTACCAGACCTGCCCTTAAGGCATCCTGAGCCAGCCAAAAAAGAAAAGAAAAGAAAAGAATCCATCTTTTGAAAAAATGGGGTCTTCTCTCTGATGTCAAGCTTGATGTTTAAAACTTTTTTCCACATTAAAGGTTTCCTTTCAAGTGTCATTAAAAGAAAAATTCTCCAAATCAGTAAAATTAGTAGAATTTGTTCAAGCAAAGCAAATCAAAAGTGATTTTTATGCAGTCAGCCCCCAGATCCGAGCAGGTTCTGAGAATTTCAAGCAACAATGTGATCTGACAGTATTTATAGAAAAACAGAAGCCAAACATAGAAAACAAATTAGAGATAATTTAACCAACCAGCCAATTGATTTCAGATTAACTACTTCATTATTGACATCTTAATTAAGCAATGGGGTACAAGGCTTCCTGCAACCTCCAAAGCTCAGGTACTGTGATTAAACTCTATTTTTGTTTGGTCTGTTGGGCCCAGCACAGAGGCCTGTTCTAACTTCACGGCCCTTTGCCCATTCTAGTTTTAACTGTATTAATATAATCTTGATTTAAGCTTTTGCTCACAAAAGTGACTATGTAAAAAGTATTAAGTAAAACATCTTATCATGACAACTTATTGGCATAATACATGATAAACATACACAGACTCTGAACCATAGTACATGTTTGCTGGCTCTAGCTTCTGTAAGACATTAAACACATCAGAAATGTCTGGTGTCTTTGAGCTGCAGTTCTACTGCAATGGACAGTCTCTGTGGTCAGACAAGCATCACCATACCTTTTCTGTACCTTCCATTGAGGAGTAGTAATGAGCCTTGCACTTTTAGTGGTACCATCCTAAGAGCGCACATTTGTGTGTGCACTTGTGTGCCTGTGTGTGTGTTCTTGCCTAGGTACTTTTATTCACATCTAGATTGACGTAACAGTCACAGACACTAAGACACAGAACTTCTGCATCATCACAAGGCTCTCTTTCTTGTATTTCCATCGTTCAGCTTCTCTGGATCTTTGCCAGTCAGTTGTGTTATCACTATTTCTTTTTTAGTCATTTTGATAGATGTGGAAAGATATCTCATTCTGGTTTTAAATTCTACTTCCCTACTGGCTAATGATATTAAACATATTTTCATGTGCTTATTTGCCATCTACTTATCTTTCTTGGTGAAAAGTCTCCTCATATCTCTCATCCATTTTCTACTGTGTCACTAGGTTTTCTCTTTCTTTCTTTCTTTCTTTCTTTCTTTCTTTCTTTCTTTCTTTCTTTCTTTCTTTCTTCTTTCTTTTTTTTTTGCAGTACCAGGGATTGAACTCAGGACCTTGAGCTTGCCAGGCAAGCACTTATTCTACTGAGCTATCTCCGTGGCCCTAGGTTTTCTTTTTCTTAATATCTGTTTACTTCACTTAGTCCAGTTATTAGTCCTTTGCCAGATATATAATTTTAATATTTTCTCAAATTTTGTAACTTACACTATATTGTCTTAATAGAGTCTTATGCAGAACATTTTTATGAGGTCCAAGTTATCTTTTATTGAAAGATGTTTTCTTCCTCTTATGTGTGTGGGCAGGTCAAAAACTGTTTTGCCTAGCTTTAGGTTCCAAATATTTCTTATATTTATCTTTGTAAGGCTTACATTTCACATTTATACATAATTTAATGATACATAATTTTTGTGTAAGGTGAAAGGTGTGATTGCCTTTATTTTGCCAATGTATATACAATTGCTTTATGAACCATTCAGTGAAAAGTATACCTTCTCCAATTAAATTGCATCTGCACATTTGTCAAAAGTCAGTTGGGAATATGATAAGAAAACAGAAAGACTGTACAGACATAACTAGGAGAGACACTGAATCAATAATTAAAAACCTCTTCAGCAAGCAGTGTTGGGAAATAATATTCACATACAGAATAGTGATACTGGAGCATTACCTAATATTATTTTAAAAAGCCAAAATAGAGTGTAATCCTAAGTGTAAACTGAAAGACTATGAAAATCCTAATAGAAAACAAAAGAAAAATTTCATGACATTGGGTTTAGTTATCATTTCATGCATATAACAAAAAAACAAAAATTGACAAAATCATGCATGAAAGAATACAATGAAATGCAAAGGCAATCTTATGGAAGAGGAGGAAATATTTGACAATCATACTGATTAGGAGCTTTGCTTGAATATATAGGATCTCCAATAACTCAAAATAACAACAAAAAGTAATATGTTTTAAAGCAGGGATAGGACATGAATAAACATTTTTCCCATTGTTTAATAATATAGAATTTCATTTTTTTTTCTTTCCTTTTTTTTTCTGGCAGAGCCAGGGATTGAACTCAGACCCTTGTGTTTGCCAGGGAAGCGCTTATTCCACTGAGCCATCTCCCCAGCCCCTAGAATTTCATTTTTCAAGATGAAAAAATTCTGAATGTTGGCTGCACAGCAGTGTTAATATATTTAATATCACTCAGCCATAAACTTAAAAATAATTACAATGGTAAATTTTGTGTTTCTTACCACAATTAGAAATAAAATAAATCAGCTCACAGTATTTGAGTAATTACTTGTATATCCTGGAACCAGTGTGTATATGTCTGTCCCAATATGTCCCATCTACTGTAGCAGTAGCATTATACTTAACATCAGTTAGATAACTCCTTGCATTCCATTTTTATTCAAAGTTTTCTTAGTCTAGATCCTTTACTTTTTCAAATACTTTTTTTTTTTTTTTTTGGAACCGGGGTTTGAACTCAGGCCCTTGCGCTTGCCAGGGAAGCACTTATTCCACTGAGCCATCACCCTGGCTGCGCAAATACATTTTAGAATAAGCATAGCTATGTCTACAAAAAAAATGTGCTACAATTTTGATAGACTTGAATTAAATTTATAAAACAGTGAGGGGATTTCTCTCTCTCTCTCTCTCTCTCTCTCTCTCTCTCTCTCTCTCTCTCCTGCCCATCTATGTTTTACTACAGGTGAACTCAGGGTCTTCACATTGACCTACATCCCTAGTCCTATTTGGATTGTTAGACAGGATCTAGCAATTGCCTAGCATAGGCTCAAGTTTGAGATATTCCTATATAGCCTCTAAGAGTACTCAATTATAAGTCTATGCCCCCATGCCTGGTTTATTGTGTGGTTATTTTTTAATCAATTAGACCACAAAAGCTTTCAGAGCACAAGTCGTATTTTAAATATGTGTTTTGTTAATAATTCCAAGTCATTCTAAAGAGCATTCGGTTTATTTTGCTAAAGATTACTTGTCTGCTGTATATAATTAAGTAACAAAAATATGTTTATTAAATAGTATTGATATGCTCAGTATTGTGATAATCATTTTTTACATATTATCTTATTTATTTATTTTATGTATTTAGTAAGGATCTCATTACATAGATCAGACTCATAGTGATCATCCTGTTTTCAGCCTCCCAAGAGCTGGGATTACACGTGCACACCACCATGCCCAGTCTCAGTCACATCTCACTGCACCTTGCGGTTGGGGCCGGCACAGCACACCAGGGATCAAACCCCAATGTCTGTGCCTGTTGAAGCAGGCACTTTAGTCTGCTGAGCTATCTGGCCAGCCCTCATAGTATCTTACTTAAAGTTTGAAAATTCTATGAGAAACTGAAGTTTAGAAAGGCTAACTCAGTCATCCAGTTTTATCCATTAGTGAGACAATAGAAGCAATAGATCAGGCACTTAAAACTAGGAATATCTGTTTCTAAATTGTAAGTGTGAAGCTAAGGGATATGCTTATTACTCAACTTGGTTAGCACACACTGTATGCATGTACTGAACATCATGCTGCACTCTGTATGTATATATAGTTATTATGTGTCAATCACAATAAAAATCTAGCTTTTAAGGTTGAAAAGAGGGAATTACAATCCCAAACTCTGAGATGTGGACAAAGAAGGAATTTCTTTTCTAATTCATGATGTTAATTATATGAAGAGTTTTATGTTAAGGACAAATTTTAATAAATATCTCCTAACAAAGAATTTAAGAGTGTAGTCATGAATCATACGGCCCTACATTCTAATTTCATCACTGTGACTTATTAGCTATGAGACATATATGAATAACTCAACCTACCCAAACCTCACTTTCCAGCATTCTTTAATAAGGAATAATAATGATGATGACGATGATGATAATAATGCCTACTCTACAGTATTGCCATGATGGTCATATATGGTAATGGATTTAAAGTAATACCACACTGTCTAGCATACTAAAAGTACCCAATATATGCTATTATTGTCAATATACTACAATTAAAAAATGTTTTTTGGTATATAGTCCCATAGAAAGTATACAGTTTATTACTTGATTTGAGAGAATTTTTTTATAAACGGCTTTTTGTAAGAAATTCATATTTTGGTATAAAGATATATCATTCATTACCAAGTACACTGATTTTAATATCAGTAGTAAGTGATATTTGCAATTCAGAATTTATTGGAAGATAGTTATATGGCCCTCTGTAGCAGCTCTGCTTACTGAAAGGGCCCTTTTCTATACTACTTCTTGATACATGCATAGATTTGGGTCAGCACTGGCAGAATGACTCTTCATTTGGCTTCTCTCTCTTCCAGCTCTGGTTCACCTTTGTTAACGGATTTTCTGGGCAGGTTTTATTTGATAATTGGTGCATCAGCTTGTACAATGTGGTAAGCATTCTGCATCTCTCTCTGACAATGTACAGAACTGAGGGGATATCTCCTTACCGGTCGTGTCTGGGAAGTGTATCTAAGCCCTTCATCTTAGATACAGGCAGTACAAATACAACCTTAAGGCCTCTGTTCCTGTGTCAAACCTTGCACTTGGACTTTCAATCATAGCAGATCATTTAGAACAAATTCAGGTGTGTGTGTGCTGAATGTATTGTGATAATGTACCCAGTTCCTCTACTCTGTGTCTTTGCAAAGTTTCCACACTTCTAAATTTGTGATACATAGTAATTGCATTTATTATTTTAATTTCCTGATCTCTTTGGACCCTTTTCCCATTCCTCCTAAACTAAGTGAAAATAACTGAACTTTACCTATACCATTCCATTTAATATAAATAGTTTAGGTTTACTTATGTCATATGTGTATATAGATATATGTATATATGTATATATGTATATGTATATGTGTGTGTGTGTGTGTGTGTGTATGTGTGTTTATAGTATAACTGTATGCCCTTTTAAGCCTCTTGGCAAAAAAATTGTCTGTAAAAAAACATCTTGTGTTTATATTAAATAATAAATTTTGATCTCATCTTACAGTAATATTTTCCATTTCAATGGATTTTGTTAAAATAAAAAATCCCATCTCATTATTTGACTAATTCTGAGTTAGAAAACTAGATACAAATTTAAGCCTCAAGAGCTTATTAGCCACATTACTTTTTTGCTTTTATTATATTAATTCCTCTTTACGAATAAAAAACTAGGCTCCCGGCATGTGTTGCATGCATAGACTCCCGCACTGCCGGCGGCAATCACAATATACCACGTGTGTCCTGTGCCTCGAGTGCTAAAATTTTGTCTTCTAGGAGTTTAAATTCTAAAGCAAGAAATGCAGGCAGTTGTCACTTGACAGAAGCCATTGGATATCCAGTAATACAAAAATGTTTAGTTCTATGAACAGCTACAGCTTATGTAAATGCCAGTGGTTATGTTTATGTGATATGATCCAAAACTAAAGTAAATGTTAAAGTTTTAAAAATTTAGTACAATAAAAGCTATATTGTCATAAATTCATCCGCAAATACTCCTCACTTCAAACACATGTTCCATTATTTTTGCCACTTTTTGAAGCAATTCTTAAAATTCTTTTTCACAGTCAACACTGGCAGAGTGACTTGATTTACGCTGCTGTCACTCCCTCGACATCCTGAACTGATTCCAAATGTTTACCTTTAATAGTCACTTTGACTTTGGGGAAGAGCAGAGATTGTGTGGTGCCAGATGCCAGTGAATAAGGTGGCTGAGGACATACTGCAGTGTTTTCACACACTTCCCTTTCCATTGAATAGCACCCAGTCCCAGCATTCACCATGTTTTTGACCATGCCTCTTAAAGACACTCATGAAAGAGAGCTTCTACAACTTGAAGAAGTGACAAGAATGATGGGATGAGTGGTTTGAAGAGGGGTGGTACTTTGAAGGGGTTTAAGGACACTATTTTATTGTCTTTTTTCTTTCTTTCTTTCTTTCTTTCTTTCTTTCTTTCTTTTTTTTTTTTTTTTTTTGTGGTACCGGGGATTGAACTCAGGATTTGTGCTTGCCAAGCAGGCACTTATTCTACTGAGCTAACTCCCTGGCCTCTGTCCTAATTTTTAAAAAATTAAACGTTCATATTTATTTCAATCCCATCTGTATTTGGCAGTGACTACACTAGTGGGGCTGAGGTTTCACATAGAGTTGTCTCTTGGTCACAGAGAATTCTATTGACTAAATTCAAAAGGCTCATAGGAGATTGGAGTAGGGGATGACAGAATCCTCAGTTCAGATTAATGACTGCATTCATAAACCACAGAATTTGATGAATCGATTTTTTTTCTTAAAATAAGAAATAAAGTACTACTTTTCTTTGTTGGTAGTTTTAAAATGTATTTAGTGCAGGGTCTTCAGGGTCTCACTACATAGATTGAACTCAAAGTGATCCTCCTGTTTTCAGCCTCTTAAGTGCTGGGATTACAGGTGCACGCCACCATGCCCCGTCTCAATCACCATCTCAGCACGCCCTGGGGGCAGAGTTGGCACAGTATGCCGGGGATTGAACCCTGGCCTCTGTGCTCTGCCTAAGCAGAGACTTCAGCCCGCTGAACTATCTGGCCAGCTCTACTTTGTTAAGGTTTTGTTTTATCTTTGCAAACAGTGCAATACAAAATTATGAGTCAGTTTAGGGTAGACTATGACATGAATATCCATTAACTCACTAAATCTCATTCCATTACATGTACATTTTTACAGATTAAAAGAAAATGAGATCCCAGACATTTCATGTAGTGACAATGCCAGAGACTCTACTTATTTGATAATTTCATTTAAATAAGTTGTCACACTATTACTAGGGGTTATATATTACTTATGCCCATATACAACTATTAAGAATTACCCCCTTATCAGAAAAATACAACCGTTGGGTATCAGACAAAATATGTAAAACAGGAATGTCAGCAGTAGACAGCAAGCTGCTCAAAACTGTTACCCAGAGAGAAGTCCTATTTCCAGCTTGCAGAGAAGGGAGGCAGAATCAAAAGAAGGAGGAACATCCAGAAGCCCAGATTGCTTCTCAAGTAAACACTGAGTTCAGAGTTGAGCAGGACAAAGTAGCTAAGATTTTTCAGGCAGAATACCAAAGAGAACTGGGAGAGACAGAGACAGTGTGTCTGGACTTGAGCAGGGCTCCTGTAAGCTGAGGACTGGTCTTTGCATGCCTGGGAAGAGTCTATCCAAAGCAGAAGGAAAGCAATAGGCTGGAAAACTCTGGAGCTCAGTCAGGGCTGAGAAGAGACCTACCAGCAAGAATGGGGAGCACAGGATGTTAGGTAAATTTGTTATGTGGGTTACACTTTTAGTAGTGCAGATGAATGCCACACAGCAGACGTGATTCCAGACCTATAATTATAAAACTTAAAGGCAAGCTTCAAAGAATCAATGTGATTTGTATGCCACTTATCTGCATGTCAAAATACAGTCACACGGTAATTAAAGGGCAAAACCAGGCTCCCAATAGCACAGCATTTGTCATGAGCAGCATTCAATAAATCATATCAGGCTTATGAAAAACAGAAAATAAGAGCCATTGTTAGATGAAAAATAAAATGACAGATTCAGAAATTATAAAGATGATAGAACTAGTAGGTAATGATCTTAAAATAGCTATTATAAATATCTTCAAAGACATGAAGGAATACATGACTATAATGAGGAAAAAAATTAATTTCATGAGATTAAAAACTCAGTATCTGAACTAAAAATGTGAAGTGCAATTTAGATTAAAAACTTCAGAGAAATGATTCATAAATATGAAGCTGTGGCATAGAAGAACAGGAAAGCAAAAGCTAGGAAAACATCAGAGCCTTGTTTTGCTTTGGGATAGCAGCAAACATTTTTTTTTTAATGTATGTAGTATAGGGTCTACAGTGTGTCACTACGTAGATCGGACTCCTAGTGATCCTCTTGTTTACAGCCTCCCAAGAGATGGGATTACAGGCTCGCGCCACCATGCCCAGCCTCAATTGCCCTCTCAGCGCGCCCCAGAGGGTGGGGCCGGGATGGCAGGCCAGGGATCTAACTCCTGACCCCTGCGTCTGCCTAAGCAGGCACTTTAATCCACTGAACTATGTGGCCTGTCCTTAGCATTCTTATATTTTTATACATAAAACTTCAAAACAGAGAGGATGCAGAAAATGTTTAAAGAAGCAATCATTGAAATGTTGTATTTCATAAAATCTATAAACTCGGGGACCTAAAAATTTCAACTAATTTCAAGAAAAAAAATTAAAGCACACAAGTATCTTTCATATTCAAAATGCTAAAAATCAGTGGCACAGAGAAGCATATATAAAATAACTAAACATATTTGGAAAGTAAATATAAAAATAAAGTCAGACTATATTAGAAACCTCATAGGTCATAAGACTGTGGGATATCTTTGAAGTTCTAAAAGACATAAAAAAAGAAGCCAAAATTCTCTACCCAACACAGATGTCTTTAGAAAGTTAAGATGAAATTAAAACCTATTCAAAGCAATAAAATAGGAAATTCTTCACATATACCTGAAATGTAAAACTAAGCTCTTCAAGCAAAAGAAAAGGTATACCAGAAAGACACTTGGATGTTTTAAAAGAATAAAAAGCAGCAGAAATGATAATTAGGGTGAAAATACAAGAAGTTTTTTTTTTAAATTCTCTTTAACTGTTTAAACAAATTAAATGGGTTAACACAGGCTATTCAAAACAAAACTAATAAGAGAGGGTTATGAATTATGTAGACTTAAAATACACCAATAAGTATGTTTCATATGAATGAATAAGAGGCAAATTTAAGTACAACATCATTTGGATCCTGTGATATATTACACCTGTACATTATAAACCTTATTAGACATATAAAAATGCAAAAGTGATAGCTAATAAACCAATAGTGAAGATACAATAAAGTTTTAAAAATAATTAATCCACAAGAATTCAGAAAATGAGGCAAAAATAAAGAATAAAGGAAATAAATAGAAAGACGATAGATTTAAACCAAAACATATGTGCAGTAACACTAAATGGAAGCAATCTAAATAGTGTGATAAAAAATATTGTCATGTTGAATTAAGAATATTGATACAAGTCTGTCACCTACAATTGGCCTACTTTAAATATAAAGACACAAATAGTCAAAAGGAAGAAGGTGAAAAAAACTTCATCACATAAACACTAGAAAAAAGAGAAGCTGTATTAATTACAGAATTGTAGGCTTTAAAATCATCTAATCATAAGGGTAGACTTTTCTTAATTTTAATGTAGCGCATTTTTGCGGTACATAATGATTACATATCCTGGAGGGAATTGGTAAATGTACATAATTCTTTCTTTTCTTTTTAAAAACATTTATGTATTTATTTATTTATTTGTTATAGGGTCTTACTATGCAGCTCGTACTCATAGTGATCCTCCTGCCTCAG